GCAACTAAATGAAAAATGCAAGCAATTACCTGAAGTAGAATAAGTGGATCATTAATATTCTTCACGTCTTGCTTAGTCTCGTGACACATCTCCCGATTTAACTATGTTAGGGCCGCACTGCCCCATCTAAAAGTGCCGACCGCGTGTAAGTCTCCAAGCAATGGTAGGAACATAAGCTTCACCCTACTCGACAACTTGTCGCCGAATGAAAACCCCCAATCAACAAAAAGATTTACGATCGGGCATAACATGCAATGAAATGCTCAGTCGCATCAGCTGAAATCCCGTGGGCCAAATACTTGGCAAGTGCACTAAGTTGTGGAGTAGACTTATCTATCGCTCCATCTGTTGGTGTAAACTTGAGCAACTCAGTGCACATGACACTCAACTGCTGTACATTGCAGATGGTATCTACACCACAAATAGGCATCCGTCAATCGGAAGGCCAAGTAGTAGAACTGTATCCTGAAATATGATGGTCGCCTCACCAAATGGCAGATGAAATGTACGTCTCGACGCGCCATCGCTCTATAAGTACTGTAATAAGATATCAGTCTAGTTGAATGTATCTAAGACGATATGTCCCATAAAATTCGACTGTGCGCAGATGTTGAATAACCGATCGTTTGTGAAGATAACTCGACGAAGAGGAGCTTCTGATCGTCTACAATGTAACGGGGTAGCTCTATGCCCTCCTAAATAACAGTTGTGCGATGGCCACCCTATAAGGATAGAACATATGCATCATCGGGACCTAGATGTACTAATAAACGGGGATCACGATCCACGTCTACAACCTACATCAACATAAAATATACAAACATGAGTTAACATACATACATATAACAAAGTTAATATGTATATGTACCAACGTTAAAATATATCGTACACTTTAACATTTTTAGTAACGTATAAAAATATCATATGATGAATAATGACCTCAAACAATAAATAATGCAATACAACTTATATACAACATTTGAATGCATAAGTAACATTTATAGTGGATGATCCATTGAAGAAGTTGATTGGTTTTTTGTTGGACATGTTCGGCGATCTTGCCCTACTTGTAAACAAATACTACAGTGGTTTTGCTTGCGCCCTTATCTTGAAAAATCCATTTCATCCCGTATGCGCGATGTCTGTGGACGTCTTTAACTCCTCGACGCAACGACCTATCAGGGCATAAAGTAGGGTCATCGGTATCATCCCAATAATCTTGGTGGTATAGAGGATAAAGATCAAGTGCCCAAGTGGATTCAAGTGCATAGATGCCATATACTGGATCGATTAAATTCCAATAACTAACATGGAAGTGAGAGCATGCAACCATAACATGAGAACAAAGTATTTTATAAATTTTAAAATTTTCACAACTACATGTCCGGTCATTAATACAAACAACATGTGTATTACCGTTATTATTGACCACCTCTATGATTTTACGTCGCATGTGAAATGGTGTAATAGTACACATTCTTGCTTTGACTTGGTTAGGTCACATAAATTCGATTGCTTCAGATGATTACTCTATACCATTGTCTATGCATCGTTGTGCATGTTCACGGTGCTCATAAAATTATTTTGTGAACTGATAAAATATGAATTTCACACATGCAGTGATGGGAAGCATCCTAGCACCTTTCAATGCACCATTGAACACCTCAAATACATTAGTTGTAGTTGTTCCATATCGCCAACCACCATCATGGGCAATTGTCCACTATTGTCCTGGAATATCATCTAACCACTTTCATGCTAATAGATCTATATTTTTAATTTCTTTCATTATCAAATTAAACTTGCGAATTTGATGTGTTGCCCCAGCCTTCCACACTTGATCTTTCAAATATGTGTTCTTGTAATGTGTGTTGAAATTGCTTTGTACATGCCTAAGATAGAAACGATGATAGGTGTATGACTCATACCATCTAGAATCAAGTTTCTTAACCGCTGAGAATACACCTTTATGTGGATCAGAGATTAAGCATTTACCAACTCTATTCGGCATAACAGAATAGCGTAGATGATATAGGAATCAACTTCAGCTTTCACTGGTCTCCTCATGAACAAAGGCAAATGCTAGAGGAAAAATCTTTTTTTGAGCGTCAATCCAATAGCAATAAGAAGCTCATGCTGTATACTTGCCGACAATGAACAAACCCATCTTCTTTTGTACGTTATCAAATATTGATACTCTTTTTTCACCATTTCAATGATGACAGACATTGTTACATTAGGTGTACCCCAAACCACACCCTTAATCCATTGAGAAATAAAACCTGCATCAAGCTGATAGTGGTCCTGGTTCAACCTTGGATAGAAACAAGTGTAAGGTGCCTAATATTTTATGATCTCAAACATTCCATGCTTCGCCTTCAAAACTGCCTGTAGCCTCCATTTACATCTACATTGTACATGCATCTTACACCTCAAAACCCAGTGTATTTTATTTGTATCAACAACAACATATTGTTGGTGCATCTTAATTGAATACAGTTTAACTGCCATCTCTAGCTTTTTTTTACTCGTGAACACCATACCCTTCACCAGTTCTAGTCTTGTAAGATCTCATATTTTATTTCTAGGTAAAATGTACAAGCTGTCAACTTTATACTGGATTCTCGATTCAACGTTCGAGAAGAATGTTGACTCTGGCTCATGCATAGGAATCTCACCATCATCCTTAACAGAGTTATCGTCGGCATCGTGATCATCATCATCAGAGTCATCACCTAATAAATTTTCTGTCAATTCTTCTTAATCGTAATAATCATTCCGGTTATTAGTACACATTCCTTCAAATGTATTATTATCAATCTGATGCAGTACAAATGCTTGAACAGGGTCCACTAGCGTCGGTGTCGAAATAACTGCAATCATTTCCATCCGCTCGTTACCAAGTGTACCATTATAGTATTGATGGGATGAGTATTTGAGAACAATACTAGGCCCTATTTTAGACTGTGCATGTGTATACCAATTGTATTCTTTCATACACTGCATTGTTAAAGGGGTGTAATAATTATCCACCATGGCTGAAGGGTCAAGCACTGAGATATATGGTTGTTGGCCGAGTATGGAAGAGTATGAACCACCCTCAGACCAAACTTCATTACTTCCACTAATGTCATATGTCATAACCTCTTCACTCACATAGAAATTCACTTTGTTAACACGTTGATTATCAAATATAACATCCACTATTGCCTTCATACTATCGTTGTCAACAACTTCTACTAGAATATATGTAAAAAAGTTAGTTCCCAATGCAGTAGAAAATTTACAGATAAGTTTGAGGTTGTATTTATTCCTATCTATCCTCGTCACATCATGCAACCTATCTGCCAAAGCCGAGTGAGTTGTGTCATGAGCAACTTTGATCACACGCTTATAACCATTATCGTATCGTAAAACATCATGATTGTTGAATATGTTACAAACCCAATAAACCATCACAGAAGCACGTCTTCCAGCCATTTGTAACAATTCTACAATAAAGACATCACAAAAATACATTAGATTCATTTACGAGACAACTAATTACTCTTATTCCCAACATGATTGAGTTGCAAGTGCAAAAAATTATATCAGCTAAGTACATTATCTAATAATAGCCATGATTAAAGGAAGTGCAATTTTACTCATACTCAATCTACTCCATAGACCACGATAGAAATTTGGAATCTTACCAGTCACTTCAAACAAATGTCAAGAATAAGGAAATAAGTTCTGATTGGGGTCAAAGTAGTGACTAAATTCAAGTTTCAAGATGAGACAGTGAATCTTCACGGGGCTGGAAGTGTTGACTCACAATTGGCTATAGATGAAGCTTTAGCTACATCATTGGAAGAAGTAGGGGAGTACTTCAATCATTTCTACTTTGTTCGTGTAGCAGAGCCTTCACATATATTCTCAATAATCATACATCTTACTCAAGCTTAACAATTTGAAAGCAAATCAGCCATGAACAGACACATGTAAATGGAGAAAATGCCAAGAACATACATCTTACTCTCCGGAAAGTTCTAACTATTGGGCTCCTACGAATGTAGAAGTTATTATTGATATGGTGCCCCCACCCACCACACTTCTCAAGCTTCAATTAAAATTTTAACTTCTCACAAAAATGAGTGTAAATACTCCATAAAACAGGAAATCTGGTAGAGTCAAGAATAGTGAACATTCATGCCCATAAAGGTAATAGCTAAACCTCTTCCTTATGATGACAATCGCTGTACTTGTAAGAATTGTGATCCTAGGTACACTTTGAAAGAAACAACTAGGCCAACATAAATTCAATAAGATAACAACACATGTTTTAGCATAATAGAAACTCGTAATTAGTTCAATCCAACCCAAATCAATAGAAAGAACAAGAACAATCAATAAAGAGGATGACACCCTGCTCCAAGAAGTAATATAAGATACTAGTAATAACCCGTACCTAAAGACACTTTGCAACTTAAAATAACTCATCAATTTGATTTTGTTTTTTCTTCATTTACTTTAATTAAAGAAATTAAAATCAATTTAATTAGTTTCCACTATTTTTTAAAAAATTTCGGTAAAATTTCCTCTAAAAATAAGAGCCCAAAGAAATTTCAACCTATATACAGAATTCACAATCATACAATCATTATAATGCACAATCACAATTCAATTCCATTTTCCTCCCAAAAAAAGCATCCATACCTAACTACCAAAACAACCATCAACATTTCATACTCAAACATATCACATTACACATTTTCCTACATCTGAAGATAACACAAAAAAACATCCAACCCACAACATACTACAGCAAAACATAACATTTATTGCATAAAAAACTCATCCAACCCAAATAAAAGTTAACAAATTCAAACCCATTAAAAAAAAAAACATGAAATCCATGTCACCAATACATGAAAAACAGAGGTATACAGGGCTGATAAATTTTGAGCATACAAAAGAAAGTTTACTTGTTTGTCTTTCAAACTTTCCTTCAAATTCAACTCTCAATAAAAAGCCTCAAAACCATACAAGTACCTGTAAAAAAACACAGAAAAATATAATAATCATCAATCATAGACATGTCTTAAAAAATTCATACATGCTTTGAATTTCTTTTCTTTATCAAGGTTTCATCTTAAAAAAAAAAAGAAAAAAAAGTTTCCTCTTAAACAAATGTATATGACAAAATCCACAACAAACACACAAACCCATAAAAACAACACCGCAAGACAACAAATCAAGAATCTACTTTTCAGTCGCTAAGATAACTCAATCCAAAAATAATTATGTATAGTGATTAACATAGATGTCAATGAGATTTCAAGTGGACTTCAGACTGGAGCTAATTAGTTTTTCCAAGTCATTGATAGTTATAAATTTTATGTGTGTAAATGGATTGTAGCATTAAATAGTGACAACTCGTGCCTAAAAGCACTTGCATTCTGAAAAAGCCTGTCAATTTAAAATAGTCTTTCTTTTATTTGCTTTAATTAAATAAATTAAAATTAATCTACTCCCAACTATTTTTTCAAAAAAATTGGGCATAATTTCCTCTAAAAATAAGAGTTCAAGAAAATATCAAATTGTTTAATCTACACAATTTAATTCTATTTTCCCCTAAAATTAGCATTCCATACCTAATCACAAAAATAACCACCAGCATTCCATACCCAAACATACCACATATGAACATTTCCTGATATTATAAAAGAAGCCTACAAACTACAACATACTCCAGCAAAATCCAACATTTATTGCACAACAACTCGTCCAAACCAAATAAAGGCCACCAAATAATAGAAAATGATAGTCCTAGAGCTTCTAGACAACATTAGTCTTCAACATTCCGATAAAAGTATCTACCATTCATAAGAATTCAATTCAAGAAATAATACATAGACAATAACCTAATTGATCAAGATATTCAATATTTTCACATACGCTTGGTTGTTTTATAAAAAATCATATTTAGTGACGAGGTCGACAACACACAGGATCTTCTTTTGCGTCATCGGAAAGCAATGTAACAAGCAAGGTTCAGTACATTTCAAACATGAATCTCAAAATAGAGCACCGCTCATGATCAATCATATTGCTTCTGTAAAATATAAGGAGAATAACAGTAACAAAGGATAATTGACAACCACTAATATATTAACAGAAGCTATAATGAATTTACCCATATACGCTAGAAAAATTGAAGTAAAGGAAAGGACACAGAAAGAAATATTAATGACTACAGTCACATGGCCTAGCAATACACATCAGAAAATGCAAAAGAGATTACAAGGTGACTAAGAGCAAGATTGGACTGTCAAATAGCTGTAAGATGACAAATGACCTTCAAAATTACACTACAAAACTATAATAGTCCATTAAGAGGGAAAGTTTCAATAACACGTACCTGAACGAGAAGAAGAAGAAGCAAAAGATAGAGAATTTTTTAAATGGGTTCGTGGAGCAGTGATCTTCGCCGGAGGAGTGGTCTTCGTCGGAGTTAGCTACCTGCGCCTGAGTGGACTTCGTCGGAGGAGTGGAGAGGGTAACTGAGAGATTTGGGTTGATTGGGAAAGGGGATTTCGGATTTGGGTAATTGGGATTTGGGATCTTCGTTTTTGCGAAATCCTTCGCTGCAACAAGACATCGAGTAAGTGATCTTCTTCGTCGGAGTTACCTGCCTACGGCTGAGTGGAATTCGTCGGTTGGAGTGGAGAGAGTGACTGAGATATTTGAGTTGATTGGGGAAGGGGATTCCGGATTTGGGTAACTGAGAAGTAAAAAGGATTTGGTTAATTCGGGCTTTTCTAATTTGGAAAAGGGGTGTTACTGGAATAAATCGTCATTTTAAACGACGTTTTTAAGTGAACAATTTTTTAATGTCTGTTAATGTTATGCCATTTGACTACCCTGATTTTAATGTTATTTGTATTGACGTTTTTTAAAATGTCATTATTAGTGACGTTTTTAATAAAAAAATTTTAAATTTAAATCATCATTCCAAATGATGTTTCAACAAATGAAGACGTAATTGCAAATGAAGTTTTTGAAAAAAAATTGAATTTGAAAAATAAAGTTCAAAACATGTGAAAATAAAGTTTTGGGGGGGGGGGGGGGGGGGGGGGGTAAGTTTGGGAAAAACCTCGAAGCATATATATAATCCATTACCATTCTACAAAGTTTCTTTTTTAAAAGCTTTCATATCATTTCATATTTCTTATGGTAAATTGCACTTTGACCCCTAACCTATAGACTCAATTTCACTTTGCGTATTAAACAATAGCATTTTTTACATTGTCTTCTCAACTACTTAAATTAATTTTAGATTGCCCTAAATACAAACATCCATTATTTTTTTAATAGAAGTTGTCAACGTGTGTAGGACAAAGTGAAACAAAACACAGTTTCGAGATGCAAAATAAAATAATTTTATATCAAATTTATAGCACATGGACAATGTGAAATTATTAATATAGTTGAAGGTACAATGCAAAAAACATTATGGCCGAGAAGATATTACGAGAAAAAGATCATAGCTGGAGGAGATGATCAAAGTGTAATTTTCAAATTTTCTTATTTCTCACCTTTTCTACACATCCCGTAGTAATGTATCAACTCTGAGTTGACCATAGCGCATCAACTTAATTGCTTTTCGTACAGCTCTCTCTCTTAGCTTGTTGAAGGGCCAAAGTTTCATGATTGGCTCAGTAATATAATGAAGAGTATCCCATAGCAGATCCTGTATAATGGTATGAGGGTAATACAGATCCTGTATAATGGTGTCAATTCGTGTTTGAGTAGTATTAGTTTGAGTTGTGTTGAACACTAATCAATCATAATTCGAATCATTTAATTAATCATGCTTTGACACTAGTTTTATTATCATGTCATATTCGGGTTGATCCGTATAACCCAAAATAAACAATCTAAACATAAGACTCTATTATCTCCCAACCAAACTCACACTCATCGCATTTTCATAAACCAAGAATTCACTAAATAGAAAAAAAAAAAAAAAACGATTAATCTCAATTCTTGATAAATAATAACAAAAATTAGAAATTTTATTCAATAAATACTAGCTAAACGTGTTGCTGGTGTCAATTTCAAGTCATTCGTATTTGATATTAACCTGATTTATTTATTATTTTTATTAATAGGTTGTGTCATTTTTGTGTTCGTGTTAAGTTTGTGATGTGTTGTAGTATCGTGTCAAAAATTGTCATTCCTAATTACTATTGTTTCGTGATTTTTCTTGGTAAGTCACAAATGATTTCACCAACCTTGCAGCAGTTATTGCGTGCTTTGCTCCAATTTATTTCATGGCAGGGCTGCATGTAAATTTCCTTTCTTAGAGAAGAAACAAGATCAGTAATCGGCCCATGGTGTTTCCTCCCATATAAATATGTCATTGGCATGTAATTGGTCCTGCAGCAGAGCCACATTTTTGCTGCATTGCACAATCAAAGAGAGTGGAATGAAAAATTAACTTCAATACTTATAAAGAAATGGACAGACTCAACCGAAAGAATTCGGGGAATGTTCTGTCCTAAACCAAGTGTTGTCTTATCTAGGTAGTTAGAGTAGCTCGTTCTGTCTCTATATATCCTCTAGGTTAGATAGACATAAGCGCTTCGCTACAGGAAGAGCCCAATTCTTCTTCTTCTTTTTCTTTACTGAAAATATGTTTATGATTTTGTGCCGAACCCAGAAAACGAACAAATAGGTGGTCTTTCCGAAAATGTAAAACAAAAGTTTTTCTCTTGCATCTCGGTCACTTTTAATTTTTCGTTATTTCGTAATTTCATAATTCCTATGGTATGATATCTTATAGTTTCACAGTTACACGCCATTCTTGCTCATTACAACCATTCGCATCGAGTCACAAGAACTTCTATTAGTGGGCCAATATGTATACAATGAACACAATTCATATTAGTCTTCTGTACCTGGATGATATGGTAAAAATGTAGGGAAAAGCCAGAATTCCGGAGGCAGTGGGTTGCAACATTCCCATTCATACACTCCAAGCACCTACACAATAAAGATTTTACATGTTAATGTCTCACGAAATTCAACTTTTGCATACAAAAGGAAAGGAATAAGGTAATTACTTGTTGAATTCATTAAAATCCAGCATGTATAAAAGTTCTTTTATGAAATTGAGCTTTTTTTTACCACGAGATAAGCCTTTCCCCATGAGGGTATTCCTGTGGCACCTCCATGATCAAGGATCCATTTTTGGGCTCTTGCGATTGCGCCATCACCGTCATCAGGTCCTTCGCCTAGACTTCGTAACATGACATAGCTAAGCGCCGAGCCAATCATGGTGCTTTGGCCCTCTATGTAAAAACTTCATCCGCCATCATCATTCTATCATATTCCATTAGTTAGATAATGGGTACAAGATATTCATAAACATGTAGAAAAACAGAAAATAACAAATGAAAAATAAAAATATTGAGCTTCTGTTATTACTTGATGGTTGTAAAGGAAACGAATCATCTCCTTTTGGTGTTCTGGTGTTAGGATAGTATTAATTGTACGACTGATGGAAAGGGCAATGACCTGCATATTTTAACATTCCAACTGTTAGCCCAATGTAAAGAGAGTGACATAGAAGTTGAAACACCTCTTAGTTAACAAAAACATAATAAAGACTAATGAAATATTTGTAACATTTTCTCTAACATTTTCTCTAGTCCCTTCGGGGACATTCGATAAAATTGGAATGACACAGAGAAGTTTAGTATGACCACGGCACAAGGATAATACGTGCAAATCGAGAAATAGTGTAATGTTTTCTCTAAGTACTTTTGGTGAAGTTAAAAAATTGTTTTGTTAGAAAAGCAAAAGAATGTTTACTATTTTGCAAAATGATCTACATCCATCTTGTTGTATAAACAATAAGCTTGCATACACACATATGCATCCTACTACACATGAAATTTATAACTTGAAAATAATGCTATCAAATTGCACATAAGAGAGCTTGGATTGAATCGGTATATCATGGGTACAATCAAATCAACAAAAGGCAGGTTAGACTTACCTTAAAACCTTAGTCCAATTAAAAGTTCAAGAGTTCAAGAAGAGTCAACATACGTGAGAGAGCAATCATTGGGATAACCATTACTTCAGGATAATGTCAATCTCTAATCGTAATTAACCTATCTGATAAGTTAGTATCTTGACCCTCATGTCACTGTCTCAACTAGAGCTCTGCGCCTATAAATTATAAACTTCTCACATATATCGACACACTTCATCTTAAGTGTACTCTTTCTTTCTCTCTCCTACTACTTTGTACTTTTTCATTAATAGAGTTCTCCGGCCACCTCCTTCAGTAGTTAGGTCACCTAGATCCAATCACCCAATCTTTATCTCTTATTATTAATTGATTCATTAATTACTTTACACTATCAATAACTATTTTTTTTAGTTTTGGTCGTAAAATTAAAATGCTTACCAAGGCAAGTGTAAAATAGTGGACGCCTGCATTTCCAGCTGGCCAGTGACCATCTTTTGCTTGGATTGCTCGATTTAACCGAACAGCTTTTCTCACAGCAGTTGTGACTGCTTCATAAGTTACATCTTCGTTTTCTCTTAGTCTTATTGGAGGAATACTTGGTAGATTTATTCCACTCTCCTTGATAAGCTATGGATTTAAAAAACAAAACACTTGTGAAAAAGTGATTTTTTTTTCCTCTAAATATTTTTATGTTATATTTTTAAATGTATGAATGCCCCTTGAACTATGACCTCTATCTTAATCACCCCTTCCGTTAAGATTAACCGTTAAATAATACAAATGAATAATTAATTTTAATGGAATTTGTCTCATTTAACGGTTAATCTTAATAGAATCTGTTTCATTTGTTGGTTAACCTTAAGATAGGGGATCGATTGAATCAAATGACATAGTTCAAAGGGATAATAGAGACAGTTAAAAGTTTAGGGGGCAATTTAAAATATGGCTGTAGAAAAACTCAAGTGAAGAATTCCCTTAACATGGTTTTATAACTGTTTCATACACCTGCATTCTCATGAGCAAATCGCCACAAGGGTGAATTCTTCGATTTTTCCGTTAATCCTCCCGAGCTTTTTCGACTTCTTCTCGCTCCTTAGGCATTCCGGCTTGAGGATCAAACTCCCAAATTTGTCGGCCAACAAAATTGTTGGTGCTGTACTAGTATGGTCCATGACCTTCAGCAATCTTAAGCTTCCACATCCTCTTCTTTAATCAGTGGCTCAAGTTCTCAACTGGACCTCTGCAGTTATATTATCCAAATAAATTAGCAAAATTTTTACGTGGGTAAATTACACTTTGACCCACTAAACTATGGACTCAATTTCTCTCTTGAACAATTGAATGTTTTACATTGTTCCGTCAACTACTCGAATTATTTCACATTGCCCCAATTGCAAATGCCCGCTATCTTTTTGGATGAAAGTTGTCAACGTATCGGGATAAAATGAAAAATATTACATAGTTCGGAAGACAAAATGAAACATTGACAACATGACTGCAACTGTCTTGAGAGAGTGAAGATGCCCATTGTTACTATCCCAGGACAATGACATATTTTTTTGTTACTGTTCTGCGATAGTGAAAATACCTCACTGTTATTGTTCAGGACAGTAACAATGCCTTTGTTACTGTTCTGGAATAGAGAAAATAGCCCATTGGTACTGTCCAGGATAGTAACAATTACTCAAAAGCGTATCTTATAAGAAGAACACCTACAAAAAATAAGATAAAATTTTTATAATGCATGGTGTCAATGTGGTTGTCATTGTGACACAACCATAGTGACACTATGTAGAGACACAGAAAATGTCTTAATTTGGGGGAAAAATGATATCACATGATCATTACCGATGAATTCAATAAATGTTGTCAGCATGAACTGTACAAAGAACGTCATTATCATGAATTTTTCAGATTTACAACAACTATGGACAATTTTTTGAAGGTAATGATCGATATAACCTCTCAACAAGAGATAAAATAAAGAGAATAAAAGAAAGTGAGAGAAGAGGCAAATAGTTGAATGAAAAAGATAAAGAAAAAAATACAAAAATTTAAATAAAGTATGAGAGAGACGGGAAGACAGAGGAGAGTATAAAAAATAGAGGGAAAAGAGGAATCTAAATAAATGATAGATGAGAGAAGAACATCAAGACAAAAAAAAAAAAAAAATCTAGGAAAAAAAACACATCTCCCTTACCTTACTTAAGGCTCTGACACCAAAAAGAAATATGGAGAAACTTTATCTCCTGGAGAGAATACAGAGCCTGATGTATCATTAAATAGGAAAATACACAAACTGTACATGGCAATGTTACTCACTATGTACAAGTTAACAGAAAAGATAATGAGATAAAAACAAAAAAGGAATAAATCTGGTCAAAATAGGAAAAAATAAATAAATAAAAAGACTATTGGATCTGCTTACCAAATATTTCAGATATTTTGTTCTTAATGATCTATAAAGATCGCGTCTGGACCTATTGAAAAAATAGATTGTCATATTGTACTTAGTACCAATTTTTACTAAAATTATTTAGAATTCGGCCCATTAAAAATTTCACAAAAAAATTAGAGGCAGATTTATACAACTATTGATATACCAAAATTGGATTCAATTGTAATTCGATATCATTGCATACACACGTATACAAATATACTAATTAAAACCGAACGATTATTTAATGATATTTTGATCAAACTAAAATATAATTTATTAAAATTCAGCCATGGTTTAAATATTTGGATTAGATCAACTTTTATCATTTTACAGAATTTGGACATGAATTGTAAAAATTAAGTTGGTTGGTTAGTTAGATCGAATTCGGATTGAGTTTCCAAGTTAAATTCGGATCAATCAAAATTCTATTCAAATCTGATAATTGACAAGCCTATTAACTATTTCTTTGTGACTCGCTTCTCTTCAACATAATGGTTTCCCCCACCATGAAGAACTACTGGCTCCGCCCCTAGAATACATGTATCAAGATTCAAGCATGCTAATATTTTATAAATTTTTTTAGGTTCATCTTTTCAATTCATTGCGAAATTCAAAGTATGTTTCATATAAATGGTTTGGTGTGTTACAAGTTTTGAGAGTTAATTATTATGGGCTTAAAACATGTTTAAGAAAAGAGCAATGCTACATAAATTTAACCGATAGTGTTTTGGCAATAGAATTACCCCCATATGAATCTACATGCATAAAAGTAAATTTTTGCCTAAAATAATGGCAATACGAGAATCGAGCCGTCACAATACAATCACTTCATCCTATACACTTGACGAGATTTCAAAGTTTGTGCAATGAGCAGTTGACCAAACCTTGGCTGAAACCTCATGCAATAGTTTTGGATCGAACTTTTTGGTCTTAAATTGCAAATTCAGATTCGGAATATCAAAATTTCGGTATAATGTCTAATGAACAGCAAAAACTTGTGCATGCATGAGAGAGAGAGAGTGAGTCACCTAATGTAGAAAGATGTAGGCACGAAATAGCTCTGGTACAAGCATGGCCCAAGCACAAGAATGGGTACGTCTTAGGCACGAGCACGGACATCGCCTAGACACCAACACAGGCAAAGGTAAATGCTTGTGGTGTGAGCTCTGTACCAAGAGTGAGCTGAGACATGATGGTAGACAGGTATAGAAACTTTAGATACTTGTTATGATTGAGCAAAGACTAATCTACTTATATAGATTCCAAAGTCCAGTGATGTATCTGTCACCTTTTAATGCAGACAGTTGCACAGGTATATTTACTCCTTGAATTATAATTGAGTGATTTTTTTATTGATTCAGAAAAAAAAGAAAGAATGAGTGAGTTTATTCATCAAACAACTTTGATATTTATTACAATATTTAATCATTCAATTTGCAATAATACTAGTAAGACCTCCAGAAAAAAAAAAAAAAAAAAGAACAAAAAAGGTCAATCAATTGTGGTTAAAATGATTTTATTGAACTATATCACCTGACACATTATTAAATTAGCATATTGGGACCATATGTCAAGATGGGACTCAAGCTTGCTATTGTGCCAAGCTTGTTGGCTTGGTTGTAATTGGCCGATCGAGCTTAGGTTTGGGTCAAGCTTAGATTTTTCATCAAGCTTGGCTCGACAGAAGTTCATGAACCATAGAGCGAAAAGCGAGCTCAATTTTTAAGCCAAGATTTGTATAATTGAATACTAAAAATTTCTAAACCAAAAATCTATTAAAAAAAAGATGGAGAAACTGCAAATGATCTAGAGCAATTTGGGAATATGTTTTATGTTAATATTTTTGGATAGGGATTGTTTGTACTACAACTAGAATTATTTACGCACCTGAACTCAAACCGAATTAATCTATTCAAGCCGAGCCACACAATGCTTGCAGTAGGCACATCCACAAAATAAGCATGGAATTCTTTTATTTTGTGCTTTGAATGAGCCTAAACGAGCCAAACTGAGATGAGCTCATTGGTTGAGTCCTTTAACATTCCTAAGACCATCTTGCATTAACAAATGACACTAACCTAGTTGATCATGTCGGTTTCTTCAAAGATTCTTTAACTAGCCGGTTAGAGGGCCAATCGTTGTCATTAGTCAGAACGAGGAATGATTTCTCATGCTCTCTCATTGAGAATTGTATTGTACCCATCTTTTGAACTTCTTTTCACGCCATATTTTTTCTTCTTTTTTCTCATAGTATAAATGCATATATTTTTTAATTATGCATAGTTTTTTATTGTCATAGGGGTTGCTTCTAATAACGATGACCCATTACACATAAACTCATGTCTGGCAGCATCACGACAGACCCATATTGCCTCCAGCTTATCCAGGGTATGGTGCGAGAAGACGCATTCAAGTTGAACTGGTTTAGATCTCACTGCTCCAATCAAAACTCCCATGTTGAGATGGTTCAGTAAGATCTCATTGGTCCAATTGTGAACTCCAAATGAGAGATCTTGTGATCAAGTCTTGCCAAAAACGATGTGTTATCTTCTATTCTTTATAGAGATTTTTTCTTGGTTCTTTTGAAGTGATTCCTTAATGAGTCATTCTCACCGCAACAAATTTATTTTTTAGCGACGAGTATTGATGATGAATAATAAAATTTGTTATAAAAAAGTAATTTTCAGCGACAATTTTAAATGTTTGTCATGATAAACTTGTTTATGATATTTTTGGGGACCATTTTTTGTAGTCATCGCCAATAGTCTTCGCAAAAATGTTCCCTCCAAAAAATAATTGGTGCCAATGTTAGCGCTAATTGCTAATTTTATGGGTGACAAAAAAAATTGTCGCAAAAATAATTTTTTGGTCACAAAATTTTTGTCAAATAACAAAAAATAAGAAAATAAAAATAATAATACTTAGCGACAACACATGTTTGTCTCAGAAAAAAAAAGTTAACTTTTTTTTTGTTTGGCGACAATTTCTATTTGGTCGCAGAATATCACTACAAGACAAACATTTTACTGCGACAACTTTTTGCGATGTGTAAGAAAAATTGTCACAAAAAGTTCAAAAACAAAGTTAAATTAATGTCTTTTGTTTTTGTCCCACATCAACAAATGAGGTGAGATAAGGAGGGTTGACTTGTCTATAAAAGACAGTGGTCTCTTGACTTTTTTTTTAGCCTTAAAGTTTGATTTTTATGTGAGATTTGACTAGAAATTCCTCTTTTTTAAGTAAGTACAAATGACAGTAAAAAAAATAGAGTAAGAAAAGTGAAGTATTAAAATTTGTTGATATAATTCTTTTAAAATTAAATGGATTAAACGAGTCGTATCGTGTTACCCATTTATAAAATTTGTTAATTTGTTATTTGGCGTCGAAAATATGTTAGTCGCAAAAAATGTATCGTGATTTTCAGCGACAAGTATAATGTCGTCACCAAAGAGAAAAAATATGACCATAATATAATTTCTTTCGGCAACGAAGGTTTTTTTTGACAAGTAGATGAATTTTTAAGCAATTAATTTTTTTGTCACTGATAATCTACTTTAGCGACAATATTTTAATTGGTCGTCAAAAACTTTCAGTAATGAGCCTGCCGCAACAAATTGACGACCAAGTTTTTTCATCGCAAAAAATTTTTAGCGACAAATTATTCACTTTAAGCGACAATTGTTTTTTGCCGCTAAAAAACATTTTTCTTGTAACGTCTGTGTGAATTGATCA